TGATTTGCAAATATTTTCTTCCACTCTGTAGGTGGGCTCTCCTTTTGCTAATGGTTTCTTTTGATACGCAGAAGCTTTTTAGTTTAATGTAGTCTGCTTAGTTATTTTTGCTTTTGTTGCTGTGTCTTTATTATCATACCCCAAAATTAATTGCCATGATCAGTATCAAGGACCAGTGTCAAAGAAATTTTATGGTTTCAGGTCTTACGTTTTAGTTGGTAATCCATTTGGAGTTAATTTTTGTGAATGGTATTAAGTTAGAGGTCCAGTTTCATGCATGCAGTTATCCTGCATGTGATTATGTGGGTTTTCCAATATTATTTATTAGAGACCTTATCCTTTCTGCAATAAATATTCCTGGCTCCCTTGTCAAATATTAATTGTCCATATATGCTGGGATTTATTTCTGGATTCTTGATTCTTTTCCATTTGTATGTATGTCTGTTTTTATGCCAGTACCATACTGTTTTGATTACTATAGTTGTGTAGTATAGTTTGAAATAAATTGTATTGCTTCCAGCGTTGTTCTTTGCTTTGGCCATTCAGGGTTTTTAGTGGTTCCATACGAATTTTAGGATTTTTTTTTCTATTTCTGTCAAGAATGTCATTGGAATTTTGATAGGAATTGCATTAAATCTGTGGATTGCTTTGGGTAGTACGGACATTTTAATATTAATTCTTCCAATTCCTTAACGTGGAATATCTTTCTATTATATCTTCAGTGTCTTTTATTTTTCATTTTTCAGTATACATAATCTTTCACCTTCTTGGTTAAGTTTATTCCTGAGTATTTTGTTGCTTTTGATGCTATTGCAAATGGGATTGTTTTCTTTATTCTTTTTCAAATATTTCATTATTAGTGTGAAACACAAGTGATTTCTGTATATTGATTTTGTACTATATAGCTTCCATGAATTTGTTGATTATTCCTAACAGTTTTTTGGTGGAGTCTTTAGGATTTTCTATATAAAAAAATCACATCTGCAAATAAAGACAATTTTACTTCCACTTTTCCCATTTGGATGCCTTTTATTTTTCTTGCCTGAATACTCTGGCTAGGACTTTGAATACTATGTTGAATAGGAGTGGTGAGAATGAGCACCCTGGTCTTGTTCTTGATCTTAAAGGAAAAGCTTTCAGCCTCTCGCTGTTGGTTATAGTATTAGCTGTGGCTTGTCAAATATGGATGTCTTAATTTTATGTTAAGGTATGTTCCTTCTGTACCTACTTTGTTGAGAGCTTTTATCATAAAAGGATGATATGTTTTGTCAGATGCTTTTTCTGCATCTATTGAGATGGTCATACGATTTTTATCTTTCATTCTCTAAATGTGGTATATCACACTTATTGATTTTTGTGTGTTACCACCTTTCTCGCATCCAGAGATAAATCCCATTTAATCATGATGTATGATCCTTTTCATGTGCTGTTGAGTTTATCTTGCTAGTACTTTATTGAGGATTTTTGCATCTGTGTGTTCATCAGGGTTATTGGGCTCTAATTTTCTTTTTCATGTCCTAATGTGGCATTGGCATCAGGGTAATGCTGGCCTCATAAGATGAGTTTGAAAGTATTGCCTCTTTCTCAATTTTTTGAAAGAGTTTGAGAAGGATTGGCTTTAATTCTTTAAATGTTTGGTAGGGTTTTCCAGGGAAACCATCTGATCCTGGGGTTTTCTTTGTTGGGAAATTTTATATTGCTGATTCAATATTCTTATGTTAGTCTGTTCAGATTTTCTATTCTTCATGTCAGTATGCTGTAAATATATGTTTCTGGAAGTTTACCCGTTTCTTGTAGTTTATCCAATTTGTTGATGTATAATTGTTTATGGTAGTCTCCTCTGATCCTTTGTATTTTTATAGTATCAGTTGTAACCTTCTTTCATTTCTGATTATATTTGAGTCTCTTTTTTTATTAGTCTAGCTAAAGGTTCATCATTTTGGTTTATTTTTTCAAAAAAACAGCTTTTTGTTTATTTTTTTATTTTCCCATTTCTACTTCATTTATTTCTGCTCTAACCTTCATTATTTCTTTCTTTCTGCCAACTTTTTACCTAGTTTTTTTTTCTTTTTCTGTTTCTTTGAGGTACAAATTAGGTTGTTTATTCGAGATCTTTTTTCTTAATGTAGGCATTTTTTGCTATAAACTTCCATCTTAGAACTGCTTTTGCTTCATCCCATAAATTTTGACATGTTGTTGTTTCCATTTGCATTTGTTTCAAGGTATCTTTTGATTTCTTCTTTGACCCATAAGTTTGTTCATGAGTGTGTTGTTTAGTTTTTACGTACTTGTAAATTTTCTAGTATTCTTCCTGTTGATGTTTTTGTTTCTTGCCATTTTTGTCCGAAAGATAGTTGGTATGATTTCAGTCTTCCTAAATTTGCTAAGACTTGTTTTGTAACGTGTACTGTGATCTATCCTAGAGAATGTTGTGTGCACTTGAGAAGAATGTATAGTCTGTTCGTGTTTTATGGAATGTTCTGTATGTCTGTTAGAGCCATTGTATCTCAAGTGTAGCTCAAGTCTAATATTTTGTTTTTGATTTTCTATCTGGATAGTCCATTGTTTAAAGTGAGGTATTAAAGTCCCCTACTGTTATTTACTGTTGTGTAATCTCACTTCAGATCTACACTTATTTGCTTCATATACTTAGGTGCTCTAATGTTGGGTGCATATTTGTTGGTGATTACTATATCCTCTTGATGAATTCACCCTTTACCATTAAATAATAACCTTTTTGTGATAGGAGTATAGTTACCCCTGCTCTCTTTGGTTTCCATTTTTATGGAATATCTTTTTCCATCCCGTTACTTTGAGCCTCTGTGTCCTTAAAGCTGAAGCGAGTCTCTGTAGGCAGCATATAGTTAATTGGGTCTTGCTTTTTTAATCCAGTCACCACGCTGTGCCTTTTCCTTAGAGAATTTAGTCCATTTACATTTAGAGTAATCACTGAATATTCTGAATTTGACTCTGTATGTACCTTTTCCAACCATATTTTGTTTATCCATTCATCTATTGATGGATACTTGGGTTTCTACAAGTCCCACCTACTTCTAATCTTATTGTAGCCAGAAGGGCTAATCAAGGCACAAAAGGATTATACTAGGTGGTCATATGATCTGTTGTTCCTTTCATCCTCTTTAGAATAGTAACTTTATGTAGACACAGAACCCCTAAATAAGGTTTACATCCTGGGTAACCTAGTAATATTAGTGAGCTAGTCATGTGTGTGTGTGCTGGTTCTATGCCAGTAGTAGATATAACCGTTCAGGAATATGTTATTTGCTTCTATACCTTGAATATTGATCTGGTAACCCTAATCATATTTTGTCTTTCATATGTTGAGCTTGTCTAAAATGTTTACTTTCTTTCATGTTACTGATTCCACACAGGAACTGATAAATTGAAAGAGGTAACCACTCTTCTGAAAATATAAATATGATGGGCAAGTAGATATTATTATTGAGACAAGATAGATTTTTGCCATTCTTGTGAAAAGTAGGGTGCTTTTCTTGCTGTTTTTTGATGTTTTGGTTTGATGGTGGTTCCTTTTAGAAGGAGGCTAAAGGGCAGGGGACTGAAGCAGTAGAAATTAACAGGAAGAGAATTGTGGTACATATAATGTTGGATAACACCTTAAAAAATAGTTTTCTATTACTGTTTTAAAGTGTTTTCTAAACTGGATGGCGACATACAGAAGAACGAAACTGGACAACTTTCTTACACCATACACAAAAATAAATTCAAAATGGATGAAAGACCTAAATGTGAGACAGGAAACCATCAAAATCCTAGAGGAGAAAACAGGCAGCACCTCTCTGACCTTGGTCAGAGTAGCTTCCTTCTAGACATGTGGCCAAAGGCAAGGGAAACAAGCAAACATGAACTGTTGGTACTTTTTCAAGATAAAAAGCTTCTGTGCTGTGGAGGAAACAGCACAAATAAAAGGCAGCCTATGGAATGGGAGAAGATATTTGCAAACAATATGTGATAAAGGGTTAGTATCCAGATCGATAAAGAACATCTCAAACTCAACACCCAAAAAGACAGTCCGTGAAGAAATGAGAAGACATGAATAAACATTTTTCCAAAGAAGACATCCAGATGGCTTAACAGATATGAAAAAATGGTCAACATCACTCATCATCAGGGCAATACACATCAAAACCATGATAAGATACCACCTCACACCTGTCAGAATGGTTAAAATTAACAACACAAGAAAACAACAGGTGTTGGTGAGGATGTGGAAAAAGGGGAACCCTTTTGCACTGTTGGTAGGATTGGAAACCGGTGCAGCCACTCTGGAGAACAGCATGGAGGTTCCTCAAGAAACTAAAAATAGATCTTACCCTATGATGCAGCAATTGCAAATACCATTAGGTATTTACCCAAAGGGTACAAAAATACAGATTTGAAGGGGTACATGCACCCCAATGTTTATAGCAGCATTACCAACAATAGCCAAATTATGGAGAGGGCCCAAATGTCCATCGACTAATACATGGATAAAGAAGATGTGGTGTATGTGTATGTATGTATGTATGCTTATATATATGTGTATACATATATGTAAACATACCTACAGTAGAATATTACTCAGCCATCAAAAAGAATGAACACTTGCCATTTGCAACAACGTGGATGGATCTAGTTGCTATTTGATGGAGCAAATCAAATGAACATATGGGAAGGGCGAAGGGAAAGAGAAGAGAGGGAAACAAACCAAAAGAGACTCTTAATGATAGAGAACAAACTATGGGTTAATGGAGGGAGGTGGGTGGGGGATGGGTTAGATGGGTCTTGGGAACTAAGAAGGGCACTCATTATGACAAGGATTGGGTATTGTATGTAAGTAGTGAATCACTGAATTCTACTCCTGAAACCCATATTGCACTGTATGTTAACTAAAATGTAAGTTTAAAAAGGTGGGGGGAGAAATTTAAAAATAATAACAATTAAGTGTGTTCTAACAAGGAGCTGTGACTTTTATTTTTCAGACTGCACTGGCACATTTAGAGTCTCTTGCAGTGGATGTTGAGGTGGCTAATCCACCAGCCAGTAAGGAAAGCATTGATGGCCTTCCAGAGACCCTTGTTCTTGAAGACCATACTGGTAAGGGCAAAGTTGGTCTCTAATGTCATATGACACATTACATGTGTAAGTATATTATCAATGCACCTGAAAGATAAAATACTGACCTTTAGAAACTCATTAGTTTTTTGTGAAACCAGATTCTGACAAACTTTCATCTAGTAGAAGAGTATTTTTAATTTATTAAGTGGATGGGCTAGAATAAATGTTCCCCAGTCAGCTTTTCTACAAAACCAGTATTTATTAAATTCCAAATTGTCATGTATTGCAGAAACATGTTTGCCAATTAATCAAAGTCTGGTTCTTTTGTCTGTCATTGGTATCACCTATGAGTTAATATGTTGGTTTTCAGTTTTATTAAAATTGAACTCTGTGGGATTGATCAGATCATTTGTTGTTTTCAGCAATTGGTCAGGAGCAGTGCTGTCCAATCTGTTGCAGTGAGTATATTAAGGATGATATAGCAACAGAGCTACCCTGCCACCATTTCTTTCACAAACCTTGTGTCTCAATTTGGCTACAGAAGGTGAGGTTTTTTTTTTTTACTTTTTTTAAAAAATATTTTAATAGTTCCTCCCAAAAGTTAATGGTGATAGTATCTTTTAAGCCTATTTTAGTCAGCTACATGTTTATATTTCTTTTTAATTAAGTGTTAAAAATTTATTACCTTTTAATATTTAGAGTTTAATGATAACATGAAACTATTTTACTTTACTAACATTGTCTAAAAAACAATATAGGTGGTAATACTTGCTTGACATATTTCATCATTTCCAAGAATGATGAAATATGTCAAGCAATTATTTTATGCTGAAGCTAATTAGATCTCCCATCATATCCCTGAAATTTGTGTTTTCCAAAGTATTGCAAGCAAAAAGCCTTTGGCATTACTCAAAGTACTGTAATAATGTAGAGATATTCTGCTAATACAGATCAATGTCTCTGAAAATGTATATGAGAAATATGGTATAACCTACCAGGTACCTCCTATTCCAACTTTATATACTGTCCTTAAATATTTACCCCAAAATTTTTAACTATATTTGAATTACTTAAAAAAAAAAAAGAAAGAGTTTTACTTAAATGATCTCTCTGAACTCTATTTTTGCATAAGGACATTTATAGACAGTAAGGTAGAAATTGCCAAATCACTTTCACAGCTTATTTACTTAAGGATATAGCTCCCTCTCTTCCCTACAACCACTCCCTTCCTTTTCCCCTTCCTCCACCTCCTTCCTCCCTTCCTTTTCTTTGCTTTCTCTCTTTTTTATTTTTTCAGATTCTGTGTCTCCTCTCTATGCCCCTCCCCTGCTCATGCTCTGTCTGTCTCTCAAAACTGAACAAACGTTAAACAATAATAAAAAAGATAAGTAAATAAAATGTTGTTGTTAGGTCCCAGTCTGTGTGGCAAGTGAACAATAAATGCTTGCTAAATTAAATTCTTGACTTGTAAACATTATATATATATGTGTGTTGTACAGCCTTAAATTGTCATTGACTTGGCTATAACCCAAGGTAATAATCTCCTTGGTCTCTTTCTGTCAAGAGGCTTCTGTGTGAAGCCTCTCCTCTGGGGAGAAGATCCCTAGGATACAAATTTTTGTCCCTCATCAGCATGATTTCTTCAGCCTACTTTTATCAGGGTATCTCTTTGGGGGGAAGAAAAACAGATTTGTGAGGGGATAATCTATCACCAGATGATACATCCCTATAATCTTTGGTCCAAAAATGTACTCTTAGTATGACTGCTTTCCCTGTCCTATCTAACCTCCTAGTTAGATTTCTTTTATCATTTAAAAGGCACTTAACTCTCCGTATCTTTTTGAAAAGGAATTATATGGCTAATAAAGGTCTGAGCTCCATGTGTTTTGACATGCACTAAAGTAAGGCTTCAGTGTATGTAAGGGAAGCCCTAGGAGATGATTTGGTGTCATGAATAGGTGGATTAATTAAGTCCGTGGTTTCTCTAATGTAGGCATCATGGATCAAATAATAAAATTAATTCAGTTCAGGTGAGGACATGCCCTGTTACTTCCTCCTGCTCACTTTCTGCCATAGCACCAGTGCTGAGCAAGGAGGGTAGTAGACTCTTGGTTAATACTAAATGAAATATGACTGACCTGAAAGATACAAACATGATTAGGAGACACTATTCACCCTCAAAGAAATTAGAATCTGATTGGGATGAAGAGGAAATTACATCACAATTTTGCCTCTCTGGTTTGTGTGGATTTGAAGTTTTGTTTTTAAGTTATTTGGTTTATTTTTTGGATAATGATACTGTTTTTACTTGATGAAGATACTGTGTGGCAGGTAAGACCTCTCCTTTGGCTCTGAACTTGTTTTCTTTCCCCTCCAGTCCGGAACATGCCCCGTGTGCCGCCGCCATTTCCCACCTGCCGTCATCGAAGCATCTGCCTCTGCTTCCTCCGAGCCTGACCAGGATGCCCCACCTTCAAACGACAGTTCTGCGGAAGCCCCCTAAATCTCAACACTTGAATGAGATCATTCTATCAAAGTAAATCTGCAAATTCCTTCTAAATCTGATGTGCAAATAATTATATATAAATAAATTTAAAATGCTATATATAGTCTATGCCATAGTTTAGAAAGAAGAATATTAACCTTTCTAAACTAAATTTAGGTTCGCATAAAGTACTAAACATTTTCAAGCTGAATGTTGAAGCAGTGCATCCATTTTCTTTAGTTGCATATGTTGATATTAATTGTAAAGTCAAGCTTACCAATTAACCCTCTCCGGAAGAAATAATCACGTATGTGGCACACATTATTGGTTTTGTCTGAAGTACTGCCACTAAGTGATTGTAATTAAGCTCTCCTGTTTGCATCAAATGTGAAAACTGTGATCACAACAGTAGTAAAATTTGCTTTCATTGGAAATAAAGAGAATTCTAAAACATGCTTTTTCATTGGTCCCTTTGCTTTTGCTACATCAGAACCTCTTGGTTCATAATACTGAGTGGTTTTTTAGGAAGGTATCTGCTCTTCCATCCTTGTTTAAAATTAGGACTTTTTAGAATGCCAAACAAAAGCCAAAGTTTTAGCTAGAATATGACAAAATGTTTAAATCTTAAATGTAATCCCCCTGGAATGGTTAGGTAGTAAAATAAACTTTTTTTTCCCTAAATGGCGGATGTGCTTAAAAGTAAGGTTAGTAAAGCGTGAGTGCTTTACGGTGGTTGGTGCTTGAAGTAAGGTTAGTAAAGCTTATGAACAATCTGGCGTGCTTAGTGCTTGGTATGATGAGATGAATTAGATGGCCTTATGAAATCCTTTCTACTTGGTTACAGTTATACTTGAGAACATGGCACCTTTGTTTAATAAATATTCGTTCTTAATTTATAAATTTATAAATAAATACATTTATAATAAGTGTAAGTGTAAATACATTTAAGAATATGTATTTATTTATAAATTTATAAATATTATAGTTTAAAATAACCTTGGTTCTGAAATACTTCAGAAAGTCTGAAAACAAGCATAAAGTGTTCCAACATCCATTCTGTTGTATCCGGAGGGGAAATCTGATCCTTACTAGAAGGTTAATTGTACCAACTTGTATAAAGGATAAAACTGATGGGGTACAGAAAAGATTTGGCCACATTTTTTTCAATATACCTAAACCTTACTGTGTTATAATTTATTCCTTTAAAGAATTCCTGAACAAGGATTATTCATACTACATTTTTAGCATTTGTTTCTTTACACTAATTTATTCTAATAAAATTATTCACCTGGAAATAAATGATAAAAATAGGTAGTTTCAGAGTAAGCCAAAATGAGCCCTGGGTGAAAAGGAAGTAGATTTTTATGATCACCTAGTGACTATGAGCAGGAATGAACATGTAACACAGTTCCTTTCTTATTTGTCTTTCTCTAAAATAGAGAAAAGAAGATCCTGACCCCAGATTTGCCCTCTGAAAGGGTCGTGTTCACATATTTCTATAAAAGTGAGGAAATGAGCTTTCCTTAGTTGTTTTTATGGGAAAGTTGACACTTGGGGTCATCCATAATTATATAACCGCAAAATAAGATTGCACAGTTTTCCATTTAGGTGATCACACCCAGTAGGCAAATAATGTACAAACAAGGACATAATATTTAACTTACAGATGTGATCTGCTATCAGCACCAGAGAATGATGGGTGTTAGAATGCCACATTTGAGCAAGTAAAATTGTAAAGCACGTCGTGAGTGTACATCCATCTGAGTAGTACGTTGATAATTTAGTTTGGACACATAAAAGGAGTATTTCTGTGGCTTCCCAAATGCAAAATTACATTTTATTTGTGTAATTTTCTCTGAGTATTTATATTCCATCTCGTTTCTCCATTCTTAAATGAATTTTCACTGTTGGCACATTTGAGGCTTAAATATAAGGAACATAACACTTGCATTCTAATTTTTGCATATATTGTAAATGTGTGTCTGGTATTTACAGCAAAATACTGTGTATCCTTTTATGGGTAAAACAAAACTGAACATTGCATGCATGTAATGTGGTGACTTTGTAATTTAGGAGTTCTTTGGGGCTTCTGTGACTTTGGAAGTGCTTACATTCAGGCCTTAATGTTGCATTAGCTAGCATGTTTTCCTTCTGATGTATATAGTCACTGTTGTATAAACTAATCTTTGCTTGTTTTCTACTCTGTGATCTTTCCATACCATATTTCATTGATGATCAGTTAGTGTCAAAGAGTCAAATCAGATTAAAATTAATTCTCATGTGTATATTGTGGAACTTTGTGGCTGGTGTGATTTTTAATTTTTTTCTTTTCTTTTTCTTGTTTTCTCTTTTGTTTCCTTCCTTTAAGTAATATTGATCAGTTGTGACACTCGTTAAACTGACATTGCTACAGATTCCTCTGTAGTAAGTAAGCCACACATTATATTTAGGCAGTATTAAGGGACGTCAGTTTTCTTCTCCTAGATAGCAGCTGTCCCAAAGAAAATATTTCTTCTTTGCCTGTTAAGATTTAGCTATTATCTGCCAGTTGTTAAGAGGTTTTGGTTCCAAACTCAACCAGCAGTGTTGAGAGCTGAACTTAAGATAACTGTTGTACTTTTTGCTTCCCATCTGTTCCTATCCTTCATTCTTGGCTCCCTACTATCTGTAAACAGCTGCTATGAAGGAGAAAAGTTGAATTAGAGTTGGCTTAAAAATTTTCTTCAAGAAAATTGGGATTTTAGGATTTTCATTGTAACAAGTTGATACAGGCTGAGGTGGAAAAGTTCAGATTCCAAAATACAGTTTGATTCTCTGAAACACTGTTTGGATCCTTTTGGAAAAGTTAAGGAATATATGAAGGTAAATTAGGAATAAGTATAAATATTGATAAAAGAATTGTTTCTCTTATTTCTCTATGTTAAGTGACTTGACCTAATAATTTTTTTAACATTTTCTTCTTCTTTGTAATATGAATGCTGATATTTAAAGGTAGATCCATGTGGTTTTCTGTTGTGTTTCTTAATTATCTCTGAGCTAACTAACTCTTAAGATTATTTGTGATTTGGATTTATATATAAGCTGTTAAATATATATGAACTGTTAAAATGGAATGCAAGTTTTTCAAAAGCCCAAGTCTAAATGTAATGATTGGTTTATTGTTCAACAACCCCAGTCCATCATTTTCCGTGTAAATCATAAACAATAAACAGGATGTACTCAGTGGTCCTTTCTAATATTTAATTGTGCAGTCACATCGCTTCTATAATTTAACCTCTGAAGGATTTAGCATTAATGGCAAAGAACACAGCTATTAAGAAAGTCTGGAATAGGCTCCTGGGCACATGATTTTTTAGTCCTTGAACTGTGACCTAAGAAGGCCCTAACAGAGAGCCCAGCTGTGCAGAAGTAGTTGGGGGACTTCTGGACGGGCTCTGAAGGAGCAGTGTCTGCCTTCTCCTGCCTAATAATCTTAGCAGTCCTGTGGGTTCAGCAGAGCCTGATTTCCACACTGACTCAGGACTGCAGAAACCCTCAAAGTTTCAGGACAGAGGTCCACCTCTCCTCAGTGGTTTCCTCCAAATCAGGCATAGGACTGTTATCAAGTCTACCTGTTTAGGAACATTCCCCGTGACTTCCCGAGGATTCACAGACCTCACCCATTTCAGAAAGGTAAATTGAGTGCTGATAGATATGTACACATTACATTAGAAAACTAATCATTCTTTTTAGAAGCTTTAGAATGTTTAGAATTGTGATTCTCCCTTAATAGAATAAACGTGTGCTAGAAAAATACAGTTTCAGAGCAAGAAAGGAATGCTACATCTCTTTGTTAGTGCCAAATCGTTTTATAATTGTGTCATATGATTTTCATTCAACCACTGCCTCCAGAGTTAGAGTCACTCAGCACTCCTACAAGGGATGGATTTCGTTGTTAGAAGAGTGTCACCCAAATGTTCCTAAAACAGCACACATGTGACACTAGACAGGTCCTGTCTCTTTTGTGTGGTCACCTCTTCATACTTTCCCTCAGGCTTCGCGTTTTTCTCAGTTCTTAACATGATACCCATTCCAGACCAACCTGGCATTGGCTCTTTCAATCACTCTCTTAAAATATGTTGCTCAGCACTGAACACAGTTCTTCTGTGGTCTGATGAGAGTACGGTCCAGAGGCGTTATTGCCAGCTTCAAAGTGATTCTCATGACTGTTATGATTGGAATATGTTGATGTTACCTATTATCATCACCATCATCATTAGGCAAGCCTATCTATTGTCTCTTGCTGACTTTATAGTCCTTGCTAATAAGCCAAGTCCATCCTAAAATTACTCACACAATTTCTTCTTAACCTAATTGAAGGACTGCATTCATCCTTATTAAATTTAACTCATAAAGTCCTTATGAATTCTGATCCTTAGCCTTGTGTCAGTTTCAGTTTTTGATGAAGCATGCCTTTAGTTATTTAGTGGCTTTGTCAAAGTTGTTCATAAATATTAAATAGAACAAGATGAAATACAGACCCTCTTAAGAAAACCACTGGACTGTACTCCAGGCGACTTTGATCCATTAATCGGTACTTTACAGTTGTTGAAGTGCCTACCAGTCACTTAGGTGTTCATGGTTCTTCATCTTGCCTAAAAGGACACCATAAGAAATTGGCTGACAATCTGATTGCACTGTCTATGGAAGGAGCCTAATCTACTTACTAATACATTAAATCAAGAAAGGAAGTTAGCTGGAAATGCCTTATTTTTTTTCTTTAATGTCTTTAATGTTTATTTTTGAGAGAGAGAAAGAGGGAAAGAGAGAGAGAGAGAGAGCAAGTATGGGAGGGTCAGGGAGAGAGGGAGATGTAGAATCTGAAGCAGGCTTCAGGCTCTGAGCTGTCAGCACAGAGCCCAACGCAGGGCTCAAACTCAGTAACTGCGAGATCATGACCTGAGCCGAAGTCTTAACTGACTGAGCCACCCAGGTGCCCCAAGGAAGTGCCATATTCTTAGTGAAACCACAGAACCTCCTTTTCCAACTGCTCACAGACCGTCTGTTTATTTATCTGCCCTAGAATTTGATAAAGTGTCAAGCTCATTTTTATAATTTTTAGAACCTACCATT